AGTTGTTTTAAGAAAGGGCAAAATTATTAAACATACCATAGCCTCTTTCACCAAAATAATATCTTCTGCTTTTTTGTCTCTCTCAAGATTTATTTTTTCTTAAACAGCAAGGTGACAATTAATTTGCTACGTTTCTCCAACCTGGTTGAGTTGGGGATTTATGCAAACTCTATTTTTATTTTACGTGACACTTGAAGGTCACTGGTCAACTCACTGTATCCAAATGGGGTGTGTTCACTAAATAACAGGTTCTTGAGGATTTAGAGACAACTTTCAATTTTTAAAACATAGCAGATATTCAATTTAGCTGAACTGGATCATTTTTTAAAAGTTTTACAAATTTTTGCCTACAGTTTTCAAGCTGTTTTCTATTTCCGCACAACTGGCTGTTTATTAGATAAACGACACTGTTTAGTCAATGGACCCTAAATCAATTTGTGCAATTCTATGTTTTTATTTGGCTTTATATATTTAAACACAAGCACAATAACTGTAGCACTGTTACAATTCTCCAGCCAAATAATCTATTATCCAGTGTAAATCATATGAGATTTTTACATTATGCTATTTCCTATTTTATAAATGATGTTATAGTTTTCTAATCTTTTTTTGTTTTAATGAAATGAACCTAACTGTGTGATATAAGTACCTATTTTCCCCCTTAAATTAAATGTTTCTAATGTTCCAGGCATGCATTTAACTAATGGGCTTCTTAATATTCTTAGATAGCCAAGAATAATATGGGATAATTGGGAGGTATATAACAGAGAACAGATTTCCCTGTATGTTTGTAATGGACTTGATCACGTTGACTTTGAAAACTGTATTGAAAGAAACACTCTGGGTTGAGGTTTTACTGCTCATCGGTGTAATGGTAAAGAATGTCTAAGAAACTGAGAAAAAAAAAAAAAATTACTTTTTTTTTCTTTTTTTTTGCAGGTCTGGAAAACCAAAAAAAAAATAAATAAAAAAGAAACAAACAACAATATGGTGTGTTCCTTTGTCAGAGCCTGGAGTTGCTCAGCTGTTTTTGACAGGACCAACTTTATGTTCATGAAATTAGTTTTGTAACTCATTCTCACATTTCAGAACAAGCTCAGTGATCCAATCTTCTTTAGTAACATGATACACACTAGATAGAAAGGCAGATCTCACTGGTGATAATATACGACTTATAATTGTAACATATGTCTTCAGTATATTATTTCGGAATCCGTATATATGTAATATATATG